GGCAAAGCATTTGACAAGATGCCAACAAATAGACTGTTATTAAAGCTAGAAAGACTTGGTATTGCTGGACTGCTGCTAAAATGCATTAAGGATTTCCTAATAAGTCGTAGACAAAAAGTAAGAATAAATTCCAAGTGCTCCACCTGGAGATCAGTACTTAGTGGAGTACCGCAAGGTTCTGTCCTAGGTTTCTTACATTTCATACTGTATGTAAACGATCCCCCAAGTTTAGTACAGTCTGCAATGTTATTATACGCTGACGATGTAAAAATCTGGCAAGAAATAACGGGAGACGCAGATGCATGCACACTTCAGGCAGACTTAAATATTTCGATTAACTGGTCTAAAGAGTGGCTGATGCCTATTAACGCGGCAAAGTATATCTAAATGCACTTCAGGAATACAAAAGTAAACAGGTACAGCATCCCGACCGTTGTTGCTACCTTGACGTGGTGGTCGGGCTTGCCTATCGTGATGAAGCAACCGAGCTATACTGGCTGGAACAACCGTTCCTCAAGGTCCTACCATGTCAGACAGGTCGGTTGAAGAGCGGTAAGACTAAAAGCAACAAACCCAAGGTCCGAAGGCGAAGTCGTACTGCTGACTGTACAGAGGTGTGACAGCAGTAAGGTGTTTCCTTCAGACAACCAGCATGACAGCGATGCTGCCTTCCCACAAGGAGGGGTGGGGTTAGAAAAGGTCGACCCTAAAAATGCACACCTCACCTTACCCACGGATTTCCGTCTCCGGCGGTAAGGCCCTTTGAAGAACGGAGCTAACACGTCAAAACCTTCCACGAAAAGGCCGTGCGCGACCGGCCTCAAGCAGTTGTCCCTTGGGCACTGCGGTCACGCTCTCAGGTCACTGAGACCACCTCTAATCCAATTTCCTTTTCAGGTACCTCCAGAAGAACCCTTCCACGGTGTGGGCAACCGGGAAGTGATAACCGCCCTCATACCTCTAACAGCACTCAAGACCACTGTATTCATAATCAACCTTCCTCTTCAATTCCTATTATTCCTCCTACATCGACTTTCAACCCTAAACTTCCTCCTTTGGCTTCCTCCTCAAGTGTCACCATAGCCAACGATTCTAGTGCTCAAAACTCTGTCCCAGGTCTACTGAAACCTCGCTCCAAACTACACATTGGAGCCTTCAACGTACGCACCCTATGTCAAATCGGTCAGCAGGCTTCCTTGGCTAAAACCCTAGAGTCTCTTTCCATTGATGTATGCTGTGTCTCCGAAACACGCATACAGGATCCCAGTGTGGTCATTCACTTGACCTCACCTCGGCAGAACGGAGAGCCAACGAGATACACCCTTCGTGTATCTGGTGACCCGATGGCCAGTTCTCGTGGACTGGCAGGTGTAGGCATAGCACTAAGCATGAGGGCCGAACAAGCACTGCTAGAGTGGATCCCCGTCAACAGTCGTCTATGTGCTGTTCGGCTGAACGGCTACGTAAGAACTCGGAAGGATAGGGACACACGTCGTTGCCTTTTTGTCGTTTCTGCCTACGCTCCCACTGACTGCAGCTCAGATGAAGTGAAAGATGAATTTTACAGAAAGCTTCCGAACTTCTTCAGAAAGCTAAACGCTCAGACATAGTACTCGTAGCAGGTGATTTTAATGCTCAGATAGGTAGCTTAAACCAAACAGAAAGGCATTTAGGTGGATATTTTAGTATTCCGACACAGCGAACAGATAATGGTGATCGTCTGCTGCAGCTATGCTCAGACAATCGTTTATTTTTAGCAAACACAAATTTTAAGCATAAGGAGAGACATCGTCTAACATGGCGACCCCCTACACCAAACCAACGATGGACTCAAATAGACCATATTGCCATCAGTCATCGTTGGAGAGGGTCGGTAGAAGATTGTCGCTCATTCTGGAGTACCTGCTTGGACTCCGACCATGCCCTAATACGGGCACGCATCTGCTTGCGCCTCACTGGACGCAAAAAAGCCACATTAAAAAGACCCGTTAGAACTGAGTTGAGTAACGAGAAAACCAAAAGTAGGTTCCAGGAACAACTGAGGTCACACTTAGGTAGTTGTGAAGACGAGGCTGACCCAGATGTTGCTTGGAAGGGCATACAATCAGCTGTGGAAACAGCAGTGACATCTATTAGTGACTTAAACCACAGAGTTACAAGGAACCAGTGGATTTCTTCAAGGTCTGTCACACTGATGGATTCTCGCAAACTCGTCCCATCAGGTTCTGAACATGATGAAGAGCGAAAACAAATCAGATCTAGGTTAAGAAAAAGTCTAAGGAACGACCGTGAGCAGTGGTGGGTAACGAAAGCAAAAGAGATGGAAAAGGCGGCGACTATAGGGAACACAAGACAGCTTTACAGACTAATAAAAGAAACTGGAATTAATAAGTCAAGTGTAAGTGAGATTATTTCGGAAAAAGATAATACTCTCATCTGCTCCCAGTCCAGACGTTTAGAACGATGGGCGGAACATTTTAGAGAACAGTTCAGCTGGCCTTCAGCTACTCTACAACTACCCTCCATTCCCAGACAATGTGAATGGAACATTGAAGTAGGTCCCCCAACTCTTGCTGAAGTTCAAAAGGCTATAGTTAATCTGAAACGAGGAAGGGCAGCTGGTCCAGATGGATTGGCTCCAGAGGTCTTTAAGGATGGTGGTCCAATTTTAGCGATTAGGTTGACTAATATTTTAGCTAAGATCTGGGAATTAGACGTTATCCCATCTGACTGGTCGCAATCACTTATCGTCCCAATATATAAGAAAGGGTCAAAATCATCCTGTGACAACCACAGAGGGATTAGTTTAACAAACATAGTATCTAAAATACTGGCCTCGATAATTATCAGACGCCTAACTAAGACTCGTGAACTACAAACACGAGAGAACCAAGCTGGCTTTAGACCTGGTCGTGGCTGCATCGACCACATATTCACCATTCGTCAGGTTCTAGAACACAGGCATACCTATCGGCGTCCGACGATGGTGGTCTTTCTTGACTTAAAAGCAGCATTTGACTCTGTAGACCGCGAGACTCTGTGGCAGTGTCTGTCATTGAAAGGCGTACCTCAGAAGTACATAAACCTTGTGAAGGCTCTTTACTCGAACACTACTAGTCGAGTCAGGGCTTATGGCGAACTGTCATCTACTTTTGCAACCTCAAGTGGTGTCCGTCAAGGCTGTCCACTTTCTCCATTTTTGTTTAACTTCATCATAGACCTATTGATGGAAATAACACTCTCGTCGACTGAATTCTCGGGTATTGATCTCCTTCCAGGAGGTCCACTTATCGACTTAGAATACGCAGATGGCATCTGCTGGGATCACCGGGTAAGTAATAGTGAGGTTAGACGCAGGGTATTAGGGAATGATGGTAAATCAGTTGATGAGGTTATGAATCTTCATCGACTGAGATGGTTGGGCCACGTATTACGTATGCCTGAACACCGATTACCGCGACGTGCAATGCTAACCGGTGTAGGGATGGTTGGAAGAAAGTTAGGGGCGGCCAAACCAAAACGTGGCATCAGTGCTTGAAGTCACTAACTTCTAGTCTGAGCCATGTTGGTAGATGCAGACTACTTGGTTGGGTCCGCGTGACTTTCGTAACAATGGTTGGAGACTCTTGGTGACATGGCTCAGAATCGATCACAATGGCGTCGGTGTATACACTCCCTGTCTTCCCTTAAACTAAGAGATTAAAATCACTTCATATCTTTCTTTCTACGAACTAATTCTTCCTTCCTATACTATATCCTTATTGCAACCTTTGACCTAACCACTCCTATGAATCCGGTGTTCATCTTGTTGTGCTAATGAGGTATGGCAACCTGGACCGATGCACATATGTGCCTGGTCCTACGTTGTAGCTGACTGACTGACTGAGGTACAGCATAGGGGAAGTGTCTGTACCCGTGATCCGGTCTTACAAGGATCTTGGGGTGACAATGAGTCATGATATCAAGACTACGGCCCATTGCCCGGAGGTCGCAGCTAAGGGGTTTAGAACCCCATGAGCTTTAAGACGGACATTCACGCGTTTACATGCTACCATGTTCACTACAGTATACAGAACCTTAGTGAGAACTAATCTTGAGAACTGAATTCAGGCTGCAAGCCCCTGCTTAAAATGTGACTCGGATATCCTGGAAAACGTACAGAGGGCAGCTACCCGTGCAATTCCAGAACTCTGGGGTCTACCATACAAAGAGCTACTTGAAAAGCTAGACCTCTTTACTCCGTCCTATGACAGATCAGATCACAGGTGATCTGATTTTGATGTACGGAATACTAAGAAATGATTCAACGAGTTGTTTCGAATTTTATATCCCACCTATGTAAGACCACAATTATAGTACTGTATCCAAGCAGCTAACCTATATCTGATAAGGGATACTAACTCACTTGAGCGTGTTAAGCGTGTGGGAACAAAATTAGTGAAGGGTCTTTCTAAACTCCCTTACGATGTGCGCTTAAAACACCTAAACCTTTTCAACTTGTTGTATCGTAGGAAGCGAAGTGATCTTATACTAGCATTTCGTATCTTTAATTATGATTTGGGTGTTAATATGTCTTATCTTTTTGCTCCCTCCAGCACTAATAACCTCCGAATTCATAGAAAAAAGGTTCACAAACCGCGATATAATAAACTTAAAGCGGGGTTCCGTTTTTCCCATCGAGTAGTCAGTGACTGGAACGCCTTACCCGAACAAGTGGTATCAGCCCCATCAGCGAATATTTTCAAGGAGAAACTGGACCTTCACTGGACGGCAATCTGTCAAGATTAACACAGATTCACCAACCTACTGTACTTATTACTGAAGTCTGATACTATGTTCCAGTAAAGGCTTACGGCAAAGTCAGTTGTATAAATAAAGTCTATCGATGATAAAGAAAGGCTCTAGTATCGATCAGTTTTACTCAAAACAGAATATGACCAGTAGGATTTAAATGTTCATAAACATTATTTGTAGATTAAAAACCACGTTTAATAACTTACTCGCCAGAATGAGTCCAAAGTACATGTTTGCGAGCCCAAAGCAGAATGTACAATGCACGTACCAACCTTCGCGAGCAAAGGAGATGCCATCGCGGATCACTTAATAGTTTATAGATTGCTACCAATCAATAGCTCATATTGAAAACAAAGATATGAAATTGACCGCGGTTGTCCTCCTCAAGGTCAAGTTAACTACCAATCAAATTTTGCCTCAGCCTCGTTTCAATTGGTACATTTCAACATCAGGTAATCAACCAATAAGTTTAGTTGAAAGACCCTACAAGCTTTCAGGAATGGTTTGTTTTACAAATACACAGTTTTTTGGAAGTAAAAGTGAAAATACCTTGAATGAACACAATCGGATCCTTATCAGGCTTTAATATACAAGAATATCTATACCCATATATGAAATTGTTAAACCAGTAAAAACAGCTTACGAGTCAGCCAGTTTCCCAATCAACCAACGAAGGGAAATAAAGGGTACGAAAGCGTAAATAAAGTGGAAATATCGCTTTCTTGCCTTCACGTTGGTTATTTAGGGAAATATCAATTTTTCACCTTACGTCGTGTGTTTGGGGGATATTTGTCGACACTTATACGCAACGTACGGTGTTTGAATATTCTATATCCCGTACATATGTTTTCATAACCGTCGACGAAATAGCGCATCCTTTAATAAAAAAAAACAAAACTGTTGTCATAAACACAAGTAACAAAATAGGGACACAGGGATTTGGCTGAGACGCATATACACTGACTTTGTTTTTTTAGCTAGTGTTCCAACACACTTCATAGCCATCACAAATAACTAACGTGATGCGTATATTTAAGCGAAAAGTAGACAATTCAGCGACATTTAAGAGACAGCGACAAAAAGGGGAAAATCCGCATTATTTCCCCCGGACAGGCGAAAAAGCAGACATTTTGGCGCGTTTCCCCTTAATTTTCCAACGCATTTTCCCCTTTATTTGCCCTTTGTTGGTTGATTGGGTTGGCGTACAATCATGCAATCGAACCAACATCTTGTAAACACCTCCCTAAGTGGTTAGAACAGGGTATCATCAAAACAGTACACAACTCTGTTCAATTACACTTGATCGATAGCGGTCGTGCATAAAATAGAAATAGGTCATTTTTAGGTCAGATTACTATTAGTTTTCGATCTTGGCTCTTACATATATCAGAAGTTACTAGGATTAGAGCTGACAATCTAAGTCTTTGTATTCATCTGGAATTTACAACACCCTTATTTCGTCTTTTACCGAACAACCCTTAATAAAAGTTTTTATCTATTAGTATTTCCCTACTCTTTGTTCGTTTATATTTCTTCACCCCTATTTTTTCTAATATACGTTTCACTGACCAATAATCTGAACACTTATTATGTAATCTAATGATTTTTGATGAATACTATGTCATTGTCTATATTTTTAAGTCATTGACCTACCTCCTATTATTAAATATTAATTTAAACCCTTGTAATTCTTATTGCAACTGGTCCATCTATCATCAATTTTTACTATTTACTAATGTCTTTTTTCAATATACTTCATCTCAGTGTTATCATTGATTCATAAACTGCCTTGGTTGATTTAATGATTTCTTATATGTATATAAATCTCGTTGTATATTACGTCAAAGCCTGATAAGAATCTAATTGAAAACAATATTGCTCTCAGTCCCAATATGAGAATTTTTAATATTTTAAATATTATATAATAGACTAATATAATATTACTGAATAGAATAGATATTTACTATTCGAATGGTATGAAACAGTAACTTTGTGACTAGATTCACTTGGTATTGTTTTACTTGAATCTTCCCATTGATGTTTTAGGACTGAAATTGATTAGTCTCTTATTGGTATATGTACATACTGTGCGTATGCCTCGATATTTAATTTAAAGCATTATAAGCAAATTGAATAGTGGCTAGCAGTGGAATCCAGACACTCTTCCTATGGGACTCGTCAGCTGGATGTACCTGCATCTCAGAATTGACGTTCAGTCTGGGAGTCGAACCCAGTACCATTCGCTTCAAACGCCATCGCCTTTTCCACTTTGCTACTGATTCCTGATAGTCACTTGCTTGTCCAATGGGGTGAAGTTTAATTCGCTTGGTATTGTTTTACTTGAATCTTCGCATTGATGTTTTAGAACTGAAATTGATCAGTCTCTTATTGGCATATCAACTCTGAGATGCAGGTACATCCGGCTGACGAGTCCCAAACAGGACGAAACGCGCGTCTTGGATTCCACTGCTAGCTACTATCCATCTTTGCTTTGTGACTAGAGTTTATTTTTCATATCTGCGATTTAGAAAAGTCACGGAAAACAGCAAATTTCATAAAACCAATAAAGTAATATATTTCATTGCTTTAGTAGATTCATTACAACACTACACAAGTTAGTTAATTAGTTATTAGTACTAAATTTACCAATTTCTATCACTTTACTACAGTACAAAGTGTTTAACATGAACTAAACATAAGGTAAATAGAATAATAGAAATATAAACTGATCGTTAAAATTCAACACTGGATTCAATCTAATATAATAAGTTCAAATGAAATGAAAGAAAAAAATGAACTAAATAGATATTAAGTTTACAAAGAATAAAATGAACACTGAAAAATGAAGGCATGAAATCCTTCTGTCTCTATCTCTAATCAATAATGATCTACTACTGGTTCATAAGACCTTATTATTTGCTTCTATCTTTTTTTTCTATTATATTCTACAAGTGATTACTATTGCAGATTATTGTTCAGTTTGTTATTTTTTTAGAGTCACCGTGTTCTTTTTTCTTTTGTGAATTTCTACTCTTATTTGTTTGTTTCTTTGAATTATTTACCAAATCTATATGTTTTGATTTCACTGGTAATTGTTCAACTATGAATGGATCAAATAATTCTGTTTGTGTTTTACCATTTAATACTGTTTTATTATATTTACTCTTAATACTGCTTGCTTTGTTAAAACTATTTGTTACTAATTGGATAGATGAATTTTTAGGGGATATAGATTTATCCAGTGTATCTGTAATGATTGATTTGATAGAAGTATGATCATTTAATTCGGTGGAAAATGTTTTTCGATTATTTTGTAGATTATTTTGATGATATAATTGTGATGTATGTTGTTGAAGTTGTGTTTGTTTTTTTTCATAATTGTTTGTCACTGGTTTATCAATGATCAGTGAATTTTTGGTGCTAATTATTTTCTCTGAATTAAAATGATCTTGTTGATTTGATAATGTTTGTTGTATACTTGATGAATTTATGGATGTATCAAAAGGCATAGAATTTGATTGAGTCGATAATGATGACAATGATGATGATAATGTACTTAATGTAAATGATCTTGATTTACTATTGGTTATTTTAAATGATACTTGTAAAATTCTATTATCTAATACAAATCCATTTAATGAATGAATAGCTAATACAGCTTCTTCATAATTACTCATTGTAACAAAAGCAAAACCTTTACATTTATTATTAGTTGTATCATATACAATTTTAATAGATTGTACAGCACCGAATGGACCAAATAGTTGCCATAAATTAGATTCTTCTACTTCTGGAGCTAAATTATACACAAATATACACCAACCATTAGATGTTAAGCCACCAGTACTTGCTACAATTGTCGGTGCTAAAATTGAATTGCTCATAGCGATTGTAGAAAGTAGATCTGTTTCAGTGGAACTAGAATATTTTAATCGATTTGATATTGCAGCTATTCGTTGTTGTAGTGGATTTAATAATCCTGCGGCGATAACTGCTGAAGTAGCATTTCGTGATAATGGTGATTGCATAGCAGTAGACGTTGTAATAGCTTGTAATTGAGCTGCTTGTTTTAATAATACAAGACTAAGATTATCAAATTTTATTGAACTTGGTGAATTGGCAAATTTCACGGTAATTGGTCTATTTAGCATATCGTTTGAATATTCAGATGGTAGTTGATGACCATTTAATCGTTGTATAGCTAATTCAGCTTCATAACGATGATCAAAACGTATAAAAGCTACACCGCGTGATATACCTGTCTTATTATCATATAATATACGTGCTGTTATAATACGACCATATTGACTAAATAAATGTTCTAATTCCTTTTGTGTCATTGTTTTAGGTAAACCACAAATATATAAATTTGCACCTTTAATTGATTCACAATTTGGTCTAGCTAATGATACCTTAATTGTTTTATTTTGTAATGATAAACCATTCAATGTATTTATTGCTTGTTGTGCTTCATTTGATTGTGAATATTTTACAAATGCATAACCAAGACTTTCACCACTCGTTTTATCACGTATTAATTTACAACTTTCAACTTTACCACATGTAGAAAATAATACTTTGACTTCTTCTTGTGACATATATGGTGGTAAGTAATTGATTATTAAATTGGTTTCATCAATGTAATTATCATTATTATTATCATTACTATTATTCACTGTTATGTTTATATCATATGAATTATTTGTTAAATGCTCATAATTGTTGTTATCATTATGACTATTAGCATTCTTTTTAGTAGCTGTTAGACAACGAGTTTTTGGATTGTTGCTAATTGAAGTTGGTGAATGTAAATGATGGTTTAAATCATTTCCATTTACCTTATGATCGTGTACTGTAGAGTTATTATTATTATTATTATTATTATTATTATTATTATTATTATTATTATTAGTAGTAGTAGTAGTAGTAGTAGTAGTAGTAGTAGTAGTAGTAGTAGTAGTAGTAGTAGTAGTAGTAGTAGTAGTAGTAGTAGTAGTAGTGGTAGTAGTAGTAGTAATAGTAGTAATAACCGGTCTTTTCTTAGCAAATTTACATGAACATTGACTTAACAAATAAGGAGAATCAGATGGACATAATGAAGAGACAAGAGTTCTATGATCATGATGTATTTGTTTCTGTCGTTGATGTTGATTTGACTCAAGACTATTTGATTGGTTGACACTAAATGATGATGATGAGATCGGTGATGTATTGATTGATACTGCTATTGTTGTTGTTGAACAAGATACTTGTGATTTCATATTAGTTTTGAAAAAATTGTCAAGATTTTGTTGTTTAAGTGAATTGTTACCATTACAACTTGAATTTATTTTATGAATGTCAGAAGTAACAATATCATCAATGTATCCACCGGCATTTCTGTGATAAATACTAGCATCATTTGAATAATTACAACTATAAATGTCATGTGCATTATCATTATCCGATGATGGTTGACTATATGTTGTTGAAATTTCATTGTTTATTTTTAAATCTGTTAATGTTCCTGATTTTGTTGATGCTACTGGTGAGGCTGTGGTAATGATTAAATTATTTTCTGGATAACCTGGAGAAAAGAGATTATTTTTAAAATAATATTTAACATATAAGTAATTACTCCATGAATCAAATCACGACTGATAGAGGAGCACTGAAAGAGGTGGAAACTTTTACTTACTTAGTGAGCATCATTGAAAAACAAGGAGGGCCTGGTGCAGATTTAAACACAGGGATTGACATAGTAATGCCAGCATTCCCTACAACTGAAGAATATTTGGGACTCAAAACAACTGTCAGTCAACATCAAAGTCAGAATTTCCAATACGAATGTCGGAACAGTCCTACTGTACACAGATAAAACATAAAGAACTACTACAACCAACAGCAAAATGGTACATGTATTTATAAATGACTGTCTAAGTAAGACACTTAATATCTACTGGCTGAATATCATTAGCAACAACTTACTATGGGAGAGAACAAACAAGCTTCCATTCGAAGAGGGAACTATGAAAAGATGTGGATAGGGCACATATTCCGCCAAGTATGCAGTCATTCAGTAACAACGTAGAACTTCGTACCTACCTACATCAGTTCGAGTTGCCATACCACACTAGCACACAGATGCAGTTGTCGATCCAAATCCCGTAGTGATAGAGGCGGTAAGAGTATAAGCAGTAATCGGAAAGATTAGGGTTTGGAGATGTTATTTAAAGAGTATAATCCAGTGAAATAAATTTGGGAAGAGAAAAAAAGAGACAAGGAGGAATCAGGAGATCAGAATTTGTAAGAACACAAAGAGTGGATGCACCTACCCCATTGCAAACGATTTTGAGCCATGTCATTCAGGGTCTCTAACCATCGGTTGCTATCATCTCGCGGTCCCCAACCAGGTAGTCTACACCTACCGACATGACTCAGTCCACTTGTTAGTGACTTCATGGACTTGTCTCATGTTTTGGTCTGGCCACCCCTAGCTTTCTTCCAATCTACTCTTATACCATTGAACATCGCACATCGAGGCAGTCGGTAATTGGCATACGTAACACGTGTCCCAGCCATCTCAACTGGTGAAGTTTCACTACTTCATCAATTGATTTGCCATCCTTACCTAGTACCCATTTCCTAACAACTGTGTTACTTACTCGATGGTCCCAGGATATACGACCAATGTTTCGAAGACACCTATGATCAAATACTAGTACCTACGAATATCCTATACTCTTACCGGCCATGTTTCACTGCCAAGTATTGGAGGCAGATATCCAAAAAATGAATAACACTTAGAAAGAGCTGAAGTAGAAAGCCTATGACAGAGTTGGTTGAATAATTCTGGTCCGTCGCCTATGTTCCACAAGGAGTAACAAGGGTAATTGAGTACATAATTACAGGTACAACACTGCCTACCTCTAAACACTGATAAAACATTGGGATTCACATTACTCATACAGGATATTCCATTCGGTTTGTCTAATACTGTAGATATTTCTTGTTCTTTTATTACGAAATGTTTTTCCTTTCCAATATGTTTACAAATCATTGAATTACTATTCATCGTATCAGTAGTTTGTAATAATTGTTTATTCGATCTATTTGAACATATAGGAATATGATCATCATCACTGTATGTGCTTTCATCAGAATGCAATTGTACCGTTGATGTTAAATAACAACTACTTGTATCCGTTATAGATTTATCACAGTTTGTATTAGAAATTACTTTTCCAGTTAGATTCTTTGTTAATTTGTTTTGAATATTGTTATCAATATGAGAGATAGAAGATTTTGAATGTTTGAATGACTTATTATCTTTAATATTATTATCAATAGAAAGTTTATTACTAGCTGTTTCATTGGTATTATCATTATTATTCATAGTAATATCTTCATCATTTAATGTTAGAACACAAATAGAATCATGTATTGATTTTTCATGTATACAATCTCCATCACCTATCTCATCATTAAATACCCCTTGGTTACGATTATTTACTGATGTATTAGCCGGTATTACTTCACCTGACATTATAATTACAATGTATAAGAATATCAATGAAAAGAATCAGGATGACCGTAATCATCAATTGAAATGTGAATAAAATTGATTGATTTTATTAGTTCGAAATCGATTTATAAAATTTAAATTAACCTTCAACTATATTGATACATGCATAGTTTACCAAAAATAATAGAGCATAGTAGAATTCATATTATTGATCGATATAATATACAGATGAAATGGAATGTTTATGAGATGAAGAGAAGAATAGACAAAAAAGAAGTGATAAGTAATGAAAGCTATTCTCTGGGATATTGTTTCACGTAATTCGTAATCTGTAAATTACTCTGACACTTAGTTATGTATCAGAAGGGGGTTAGTGGAGATTTTTAGTAATTTCAATGGTTGAAGTTATGAGTCAGTTGAAGCTAGACCACCATGGAAAACCTGGAAGGCCAACTTGTCCTATTGTGGGACTCCTCAGAAGTGTGCATCCATGATTCCGACTCGCAAGATTCGAACAAAGGATACTGGTCTCGAGAGCGAGCGCTTAACCACTAGACCATTGAGACGGCCGGCATCCAACGGTGTTAATATCTAACTTCAACTAATCCACGAAATTGAGCGACACATTCACCATTGTCATCAGTGAGTTACTGTCTCACAACTGACCCGGTTGAACTCGACTGACCTGATTTGTTGAATGAGTTGTAGGCTATTGATTAATCTATAAATTACTGTTATATTTTTATTCTATTCTAAAATTATTGTCATTTAAATGTGGTTCTTGTGTTTCATTTACGATACTCTAATACTTTAGTTTGGTATAATTGTTTGTTTTTTTACATTCTATTTGTTTCTTGATCCTTTTTTCGTATATTCATTTGTGTATATTTGTGAGTTACTTGAATTGGATCGAGATAGAATATAGAGTTTTCTTCATTTTTCATCGTTTCTTTTCGTTTTCTAACCATCTAGATTATTATTATTTAGCGATAGCACTGTTCTTTTCTTTCTACGCCTACTGCTGCTCAGTCACAAAATCGAACTTATGCCTCAAAGTCTTAAGGTCATTTTCTGTCAAAATCTGATAGACTCAGAATAATCCAAAGGTTAGAAGCAGTACTTATTCGGATTAAGAAAAAACCAAAATTATTTGTATCAGAGAAATAAGTTCAAACTTTTCTCCTGTTTTTACAAACCTTAATCACAAAAATCAATAGTCTTTTTATTTATAAAATTAGTTAATTTGGTTAATGCATATACATCCTTTTCTTTTGCATTTTCATAACTTACATTTATCTTAAATAGAGAAATAACGAAGATTGGTGCAGAATAATATGAATTCGTTCTATTTCGTTAAGTTGTAAGCAGCTGATGAGAACTTAACGAAATAAAATGAGTCCATTTAGTATTCTGCACCAATCTTCGTTCTTGCTCTGTTTAAGATAATAAAGGAACTATGTGTATGAAACTTACATTTATGTTATTTAAACACTGTTGTCATTAAGATCAAGAATCGATCTAAATTAAACAACTATTTAAAAACAAGAAACACTAGATATCTGTTCCTTCCTAGTATGGGCTCCTCAAAAATTCACATACATGACCTCAGTGGGAATCAGACTTAGAACCATTGGATCAAGAGATGAACATTTAATCTTTAAACCACTGAGTTGACATTCAATATTACAATAATGTGAATTAATTGTAGTTAGACATAAAACCCAAAAAGTATTTTTGTCTGTGAGAACGTATACATCAAAATTTTATTCTTGAAGAAGAATACTGCCTCATTCATAAGGTGGAAAAAAACTCGTATTAGGTTTCACAATAGTTTATATAATCCTAATATGTCGAATAAAACATCATTTAACTTAGATCCAGTAAATTAATACATTTTGCTGTCAGTAAGGAACTTAGAAAATGATCCAAACATAGATTGCTCAAAGTTGACATGCTTCATATCATTACACACACATATATAATAAATTAACGAGATGAAAATCAAAAGAGTTAAGTAGTAAATGCTCCTTTTCTTAGTAACATAATGTTCAGTTACTTAATATTAATTAACATAGGGTCTGATAAAAATTCGTGTAACTCAAAGTTGCCATATCACATCAGCATGACGAGATAAAATGAACAAGATCAATATCAAGATAGTCAAAATAATAATAGCCAAAAAGTAATGATAAATACTAAACATTGAAGAGATGAATATTTAGAGATAAAAAGTACGAAATTATTCTGAAGATAAGAAATGAATACATTCGAGCTACCGTGATCTATTCTAAGTCTCATTCTATGCTTAACCTCGACATTATTCACTAGATCGTTTCACTATACATGAGTAATACTTCAAAGACATCGATAGTTATATACTTGAAACCTACATATGTCTTCTACTCTCATAATGTCCATAAAGGGTTTGGAAAAGAAATATTTCTTAAGCTTTAAGTGGTTTAATGCAAAATAATTAAAATCGACTCAGACCTAAGTTTAATAAAATTTTATTTATCAAGTACTAGTTTTCTGTTTTGTGTTGAGCTGTACTATGTGTATAAAGGTTATTGATAATACGAGACAATTAAAGCCGAAATAAGTGGGCCAAAGTTCGAACCTATGACTTAAACAATTGTGATTATAGATGTTCATTAGCAGGTAGAATGGTAATGATAATATCGAAGAAACTTATGCTCTTTCAATCTCTAATCTATATCACCAAGCATCATAGTTTGAATTTTTTATATATTATTTAGGTACTTCTGATACCTTCAGTAAAAGTTATATCAACTGATCAATTAATAAATAGTAACTAATATTATGTACTATTTCTTTTAATGCTAACCACGTATAAAAGTTTTATTAGATTGTAACTATTCTATAAAGTAAACGTTTACAAACTATTACAAGAAGTACTATTGTGGTGTGGGTTACTTATATTCACATAAGTAGTACATAACAGAAAATCGATAAGGGAGGAACGGATACGGAACGCATTTTGTATGAAAATACATGGACAATGAAATCTGAGACAGTGGATTGATATTTGCAAAAGAACAGTCAAGTTTGAGACGATTGATTGATATTTTGCAAATTAACTATTTACTATATGGTTCTCAGATTTTAGTGAAATGTTCTGTAATTTCTTGTCCAATACATTCCATTGTCTCCACTCGTCTTCCTGTTCACTGCACTATTTTGAACCCTTCTTTAATGTCAGACAACCTAAATATGAAGATTTCAAATATTATTTCGTGACTACAAACGATTTATTCATCATTACTAGAAAAGTGTACATATACTACTAATCTAATCACATATTTGAAAATAAGTAACAAATAAAACGTTTATTCAAGAGTAAATACTCGATTAAAAATATGGATTCGTACACGAAGCTATAAGTTCAGTAACTATAGTTTGATATTGAATATAGTGAGTAATTTCATATACATAATTCCTTTTATTATCTTAAAGAGAACAACAAAAAAGATTGGTGAATAATAATAAATGGATTCATTTTATTTCGTTAGGTTCTCATCAGCTGCTTACAACCTAATATATTTAAAATTCAACATTATTACAGATATTGACATACTTATACATAAGAGAGTGATTCAAGATGAAAATATGTATCATGATGTAGCGAAGATTTCAGTCGAGTTCATTCATTATTTCAACTCCTTCCGAAGTTTTAATTACATCATTGTCGTTTTTCTTCAATTCATATCTTTCTTTATTACCATTAATCTATTTTCAGTTGCTTCATTATACAATCATCTAATGTTTGTTAACTTCATGAGTTCTGTTATAACTCTGGGTTTTCCACGTTAATTTACCTTAGACAAAAAATTTCTTCCAATGTCTATTCTGTAGGACTTCAACACAACTCAAATCAAGAACACGTGATTAGCCTGACTAGATCCTAGATATATTTTCATACCAAAAACCGACAACAAGCCGACACAATCCAACAACCATCAACAGTCAATTTTAATAAGGATAGGGGAATATATAAATCATCTAACATTTGTCAGACTATCAACAAGTCTGACAAGCAAACAACCAATCATTATTATTTTCGCTCACACATCAAGTTCTAATCACTATCTCAATGTTCTGGAACTTTCCCTACCAAACTTTATTTATTCAAAACAAAATTTTATGACCTTATTAACTCTATTGAAATCTTCGCTACATCATGATACATATTTTCATCTTGAATCACTCTCTTATGTATAAGTATGCCGATATCTGTAATAACGTTGATTTTCAAATATTTTAGGTTGTAAGCAGCTGATGAGAACCTAACGAAATAAAATGAATCTATTTATTATTGTTCACTAATCTTTGTTCTTGCTCTCTGTATGTGAGTAGTTGAAAACTCACATTGATTGATCACTGGGTGGTGATCAATGTCATATGTGTACAGTCCTTCGCAGTGCAGATCGAATGCTATCGACCAAGTTACAATGTGGCCACTAGTCTAGGTGACTCGACATTGCGTGCACTATGTTGAGATAAGATGGTGGTTGGAGGTAGTCAAGAGAAAATCCTGGACTAGTTATTTATTAGTTATGATTAACAAAAGAAGCAATGGTTACATTCATTTAAAATCAAGTAATACAAACATTTATTCAACAACAACAAAAGACTATTTGATTAATTTATCAATCAGAAGTACTAAAACTACCCACCTATGTCGATTAAAAGGAATAATGATATCATGAGAATCATTAGTCATAGATGTGAAAATTTAATTTTCAAAATGAAATTTGATTTATGACGATAAAACTTGGAAGCACTGTACGACCATTTCATCCTTGTGTGAGAAATCCTCAGTGTGGCGTGATTGTGGATGCGCACTGTTGAGGAGTCCATACTAGAACGAAACGGCCATCCAGTGCTTTCAAGTTTTACAAGGTGGTCTAGCTTCAATGGACTCATGATTTCAATTATTACGTTACAATAAATTCCAAAAAACCCTTTCTGATTATGATGGTAAATGTTGTAAAGACTTTCATGGTTCTAAAAAGGTGTTTATTTCACATTATTCAGAAGCTTTTTTTCTGGTGTACTAATATATAC